CTATTAAAAAAATATCCAAGACAGACACCAGACCCTAATGCTGCTGCTGCTGCAGCAGCAGCAGGAGATGCAGCAGCAGCAGCAGCAGCAGGAGATGCAGCAGCAGCAGCAGCAGGAGGAGGAGGAAGGGGAGAGGAGATAGAGGAGATAGCTAGACCAACAAAGAAGCAGAAAGTGTCTCCTTCTTCCTCTATCCCTAGAGGAGCAGCAGCAGCAGGTGCAGCAGCAGCAGCAGCAGGAGAAGAAGAGGAAGAAGAAGAGGAGACACCTAAAAAACCTCCGCGTTGGTTATACGAGGGTTTACGTGCTGCAGGGATAGACATTAGTCATTTATACACTGAATTTAGTGATGAATAAACCCTAAACCCTAAACCCTAAACCCTAAACCCTAAACCCTAAACACTTATTTGTTAAGTGTTTCCGTTTTTTTTTTTCTCCTTTTATTTATATACACAATTTACTGACGAATAAGAAAAAAAAAAGGAGACAATTAATTAAGTGTCTCCTTTTTATTCATTTGTTTATTTATTTATTTATTTTATTTATTTATTTATTTATTTATTTATTTTGTCTCCTTTTATTGTCTATTCTTTTTATTTATTTGTCTCCTTTTATTAATAAAGTGTCTCCTTTTATTATTATTTAATTGTCTCCTTTTCTTATTCCCCTCCTTATTCCTCCCTCCCTCCCTCCCTCCCTCCCTTTCTCCTTCCTATATAAGAAAAGGAGACACTTTTTATTAAGGAGACACTTCTTTTCCTTGGCTACTTAAGGGAATACAAACCCTAAACCCTAAACCCTAAACCCTAATACTCTAAACCCTAGACCCTAATACACTAAACCCTAAACCCTAAACCCTAGTACGAGCTACTGTTGGATCCAAGAGATAAAGATTTAGACTCTTAGATAGAAGAAGGGGAAAACGTGCAGTGTTTGTGCTCCCTGCTGCACTTGCTGCTGCTGCTGCTGCTGCAACAGCAGCAGCAACAACAGCTTTTGCTGCAGCAGCATGCATGCATTCCCCTTATTAAATAAAATTCTTTAATCTCCCCGCGGGGAAGATTCTAATTAAAACAAACAAAACCCCTAAAAACAACCAAAAAGCCCCAACCCTGCATGCATAAGGGTTTGCGTGCATGCATGCATGCATGCATGCAGGGGTTGCATGGGGCTTTATTATAGGAGGAGGGAGGATGCGTCTGCGGTTTGGCCTGAAGGAAGAGAAGAGGAGGAACAACAAGAAAAAGAGACACATTAAGTGTAGAACTTCCAGGGTTTAGGGTTTCTAGGGTTTAGGGTTTCTAGGGTTTAGGGTTTCTAGGGTTTAGGGTTTAGGGTTTCTAGGGTTTAGGGTTTAGGGTTTATTACTTTTAATTCTTGCTTGTGTCTCTCTTTGTCTCTCTTTTACTTTCTTAACAACTTCCTCTACTTCCTATTAACAAAAAAAAGGGAGACAATACGCAAACAAGCATGACTGCTGCTGCTGCTGCTGCTGCTGCTAATTGCTGCTGCTGCTGCTGCTGCTGCTAGAGGAGACAAAGGAGACAGTATACTTACAGGTACTCTTAGCTCTTCGCGTCTTTCTTTTGTCTCTTTTTCTTTTATTTCTTTTGCCCTCCTCTCTGCCTGTATACAGCAGCAGCAGCAGCAGCAGCAAAAGGAGACAACAAATAACCTGCTGCTGTTGCTGTTGCTGCTGCTGCTTCTGCTCCCACTGCTACTACTGCTGTGCCTATTGCTGCTACTCTTGCTGTTGCTCCTGCTCCTGCTGCTGCTGCTGCTGCTGCTGCTGCTGTACCTTATTTTGCGGCCCTGGTATGAATTCTTCCTCTCTTTTTTGTCTCTTTGCTGCTGTCTTCTGGTGCTGCTTCTCCCTTTCTTCTTCTATCTTCCTCTTCTAAGGAGACAAAAAAGGAGACAAAAAAGGAGACAAAAAAAGGAGACAATAAGGAGACAAAAAAGGAGACAAAAAAATAGACAATAAGGAGACAACAAAGGAGACAGTAAGGAGACACAAATAATTTAGGGACATTCTTATACAGCAGCAGCAGCAGCAGCACCACCACCACCACCACCACTAACAGCAGCAGCAGCAGCAGCAGCGGCAGCAGCAGCAGCAGCAGCAGCAGCAGCAGCAGCCGAAGTCTACCTGTTTCTGCTGGGCATCAATAAAATATTCTCCTGTCTCTAAGAGTATATCTTCTTTTCTTGGTGTCTGCGGAGGAGGGAAAGCACTTTTTTCTTTTTTTTCTTTTTTTTTATTATTTATCTTTTTTCTTTGTACATTTCTCTTCTTAAATTGAGGCAAAAAACGATCCCAATTCTCCTGCAGCAGCAGCAGCAACAGCAGCACCAACAGCAGCAGCAACAGCAGCACCAACAGCAGCAGGAGACGGTAAGGAGACAGTAACAAGCATCAAAGAGGACAGCAATAAAAATTAAAAGGAGATAGAAAAGGGACAAAAAAGGAGACAAAAAGAGAAGACAACAGAAAAGGAGC